TATAAAAATAATTGTATATGTATATCACATGCTCTGAAATATCATATCAGTGCCAACTCAGTGTCAATATCAAGTGCACATGTTCAATACATATCACGTGATCAACATATCAATAACAATATAATAGTAATGACATCGACGTCATGGGTGGAACTAGCACTAAAGACATATAGTGGCAGTGATTCAGTAGCATATTTTAATAATCATATTAAATAAGTAAAATTCTTAGTTACAACAAATTTTTTTAATATCAGTAATCCGTTGGCTCAGTAAATAGAGTTGTCACTCTTTCTCTGTTGACATAGTAATTATCTTCTTATAGCTTTCAATCAGTGTATTATGAGAATTAGTCGAGGATAATACCAAACCGCATATTTAAAAGACCACCATCTTGTACACGTCAATTAGTCTACAATCAATACTAATGAATAACTAATATTTACTTGTTCTCATCACACACAAACTATTATCACATTACTATAACAATAATAGCAACTAGTAAATCACATACCAACATTCTCAATGCATTGAAGTAAATAAAATATAATTTGGCTTAATTTAGAAAGTATTAAAATGTCCTAATAGTGGGTAACAAAAATTTTACTGAGCAAAAATTCATATTTTCAGAAATTAACCAAATTACTTGGGAATGTATATAACAATATTTTGAAACTTTAATTGAACTAAAAAACTTCCTTTAAATGTCAAAATAAATTTTTAAATGGATAAAAACTATGCATTTTCAAAATCACATGACAAAAAATATCAAATAAATACTCAAAATGTTAATAATCTCAATCTCTATAACATATAAAAAGTTACGCAGTGAAAGATTTACCAATCATATAAATCAAATTTATATATAAAACATTATTTGATTCACTTGAATAAACTATTTTTGAATTGTTACATATCACCTCAATGATCTTTCCATGCTACCTCACATGGGGTCTTCAAGTTGTGTTGTATCTACCATCAAAATTAGGACCATCCTTATAACAACCTTTATTTGAAATTAAAAAAAAAATCTTGTCCATGTTGGTCTACTGGGTTGACCTAACCCATTACTCCCACAACTTTATATATGAAGGATTGTGGGGAGACATAAATCTCAAGTTGGGACCTTAGGAAAGGCAATTGTGAGATCGAGCAAGAATGAGGGAGTGCATGCAGCAGAGGCAAGAAGATGAACTCATGAGATGTAAAGACTCTGAGATGGAGAGATATTAACATATCGAAATAGAGATGGAAATAGGTAAAAGTATATTTGTTGAATAGGGAACCCAATAAACTTGTCATTAACAGATATAGAGATGGAAATAGGTAAAAGTATGTTTGTTGAATAGGGAACCCAATAAACATGTCATTAACAAGGTCATCAATGAGATGCTTTTATAGGAGAGATGGGTAATACACTTCTTCTCTATCCCCTTTAGTTTGCTAAGAGTATGATAAAATGTTAGGACTAAGTTATAAATTTTTTTTATAACCATATAAGCTTAGAACGCAGTTTATAAGAGTAATCAACTTTTATTGGGGATTTTAAGTATGCTACCCAAAACTATTCTATCTCGTCATAAAACACGAACATTTAAAAGGAATTTTATTGATATTGATGGTACAAGCATGTCTTTACATGCAAGAAAACACTAAATTTAGAGTTTTACTATTTTATGTTATGATTTTAATGGCATGGGATGAAGTAAATGAGTGAAATATATTCAAATTTTAGATGCAAGATTAAAATACATCTAGTGTTATATATGACTGATGAGGTAATTGATGAGGAGGCTCTATAGTCATAATGCACAACATAGATCAATAGCTCATAGTTATGACTTTAACTAAGAATATTGTTTATATAAATGGAAAAAGAATTCATGACTTGGAGCATTCTTAGAATATTGAAGTCCTAAATTATCAAAATATGAATTGATTCTATTAAACCTCTGATGAGAGGAATATTTTAATATTATAATTCTAATATATTTATATCTTATTATTGTCATTATATTTTAATCAGGATATTTTCTTTATTAAGTTTGCTTCCTTCAATCTCACATCTAATAAATTTTATAAAATCTTGGATTATTATTTAAAATTTTAATTTAATGCTTATAATAAATGGATTATGATGATATATTCTTAAACTTTTGGAGTGTATGTCAATAACATCATAGGATAAGAGTGCTATAATGGTAACAATCTCAACATATAAATAATGTACACAAAACCATTGGTTTTGACAGCCCAGCCCAGTTCGATGAGCAATATAGGCCATGTACAAGGAAAAAATTGGATCATGGCTTGCAAGATGGTATTAGGCCCAAATGGGCCGTTCTTCCAGTACTACATGCTGACTTGTGGTTGTTTCAATGGTCTAGAGATTTCACATGTTAAAAATTAGAAATTGGTATGATGGAGAAATATTACGTTCGGAGATCGGATATAAAAAATTATTTGGTTTGTCTCTGTGAACAGTGAATGTGTAATAAACTGTCTTTATTATTCACCAATGTGCTTTTTTTAGTTCACAAAGACAAAATCGAACGGTTATTTGTGTTTGGTTTCCGCACGTAATAATCTATTTACGGTATGATGATATGTTAAATATGTTTATTGTTATTTAGACTTTCTTGTGCTTGAGCATTCATTTTACCAAGGGGGTTGTTTTAGATTATTTTTTTAAAAAATATGTTTTATTTGTATTTTTTATAATTTTCTTTACACTCGTGGAGTTACAATCCTGCAAAATCACCCCTGATTTTTTGTACTTTTGGCGCGATTGTTGGCCTTTCCTTGAACACTTTGTCCCTACCATATATGTGCCCCTTCCCGCATGACCTAGCCGCCACATTGAAGGTTATGGGCTCGTTTGGGATAGCTTTAGACAATTGCTTATTTCTTATTTTTAAAAGATTTTTATATTTAAAAATAGTTTTACAAACCATCCCAAATGAACCATCGAGCTTCATTTGAGACATCTTTCTTACTGCTTAGTTTTTAGATCACAACTATAATTTTTGTTTGGTGACTATTTTTTCGTTACTTTTTAAAAAATTTTACATTAGAAGGTTGGTTTCTACAACAACTTAAAAAATTTATTTTCTTTATAGCAGCTTTACAAAGTAGTAGGAAAATTGTTCCAAACGAAGCAACCGAACGGTTATTTATGTCCGGTCTCCGCACGTAATTATCTCTTGGTATGATGATATGCTAAATATGTTTGTTGTTATTCAGGCTTTCGTGTGCTTGAGCATTCATTTTACTAAGGGGGTTGTTTGAGATTATTTTTTTAAAAATATGTTTTATTTGTATTTTTTATAATTTTCTTTACACTCGTGGAGTTACAATCCTGCAAAACCACCCTCATTTTTTGTACTTAGGCGCAATTGTTGGCCTTTCCTCGAACACTTTGTCCCTACCGTATATGTGCCCCTTCCCGCATGACCTAGCCGCCACATTGAAGGCTATGGGTTCGTTTGGGATAGCTTTGGACCATTGCTTATTCCTTTCTTTTAAAAGATTTTTGTATTTAAAAATAGTTTTACAAACCATCCCAAATGAACCATCGGGCTTCATTTGAGACATCTTTCTTACTGCTTAGTTTTTAGATCACAACTATAATTTTTGTTTGGTGACTATTTTTTCGTTACTTTTTAAAAAATTTTACATTAGAAGGTTGGTTTCTACAACAACTTAAAAAATTTATTTTCTTTATAACAGCTTTACAAAGTAGTAAGAAAATTGTTCCAAACGAAGCCTAAAAGATCTCAATTAAATTCGATACATTTGTAAAGGTTTATATATTTAATAATTTAGTTAAATAACATAATTTCCTATCTACATAATATTCTTCTTTCATTTATATGTTTACGACATTTTAAGTAGGAATTATCATGAATGATTAATTCTAATTTTTATAATATGATTGTAATTTTTAACCGTTAAAATTATCCTAAAATAATTTCTTAAATATGATTTTAAGAAAAAATTTCATTAATATGAACATTATTATAATTGTTTATAATGATAATTTATTTATTTGATTGTTCTATTAAACCTAATTAAATAAATACAATATAATAATATTATTAAAATTTTAAATTTAGTCACGGTATCATAACTAGAAGACTAGAAGTGTCAAAATGGATTGACGGTTATGATTCATATATAACTCGAAATTGGCCAAATCCGATTCCAATCAATCTGATCGACACGGTTAATAAACAGGTAAAAAATACCAACTCAAGCTCGACTCACTAGCAATCTGAATGACTCGAGCTTGACTTGTTAACCCATTTTGCCAATTTTTTTAATATTTTATTCACTATAAAGTTTTTTTATTAAATTTAAATGAGAATTTGAATATTAACGAGAGAGAATGGAGAAAAATGATTTATGTAGTCGACCCCATATAGTAGGATAAATGCTTGATATTGTTATGTTATTCACTATAAAATTTAAAATATTTGATCAAAATTAAAAAAAAAAAATTATATCCAAAAGTAAAAAAAGTAAGGAACAAATATTGAACATCTTTTTTTGAGTCATAAGTAGATTTATTTATTTATTTGTAGGAGAGAAAATACTGTTCATAGGCCAGTTAAAACCTCGATCGACCTAGCGAATAACCCACACCAATTTATCTGAGCCGACTGTTAAAGCTCACACTACCATTCAGGGGATTCGAACCAGACACTTCAGCTTTAATAAACTAATCAAAAAATTCAATATGAACTCTACCCATTTATTAAATAGATGAAATAAAATCCAAATTATTTATTGACACTTCTAATCATAGCATAATTTAAGCTTTTCTCTTTAGTATTTATTTATTCCAAATTAATGCTGCGTGGGGCCAAACGATATTCTCTCCCACCAATTTTATTTATTATTTTATTTCATAAACCATTTTTTAGCCGTTAGATTATTTTATTTCATAAATGATATTCTATGCCCTTGAAAAAGAATATATTTGTGCTTCAAAGGGTTTTGAGCTCCATTTCTAATATCCGGCCGCCTTTGTCCCGTGATAACCACACTCTTCGCAAAAGCAGCCAGAGAGCCAGAAAGGCCGCCGGTCTTGTATTTTCTCCGTCGACTGTTTGTGTCGAACAAGAATCCATCGACGGTTAGGCGGAGGTCTTACTAGTATTTTCTACGCTCCGTCACTCGTTCTTGTGATTCACTTGAACCCGAGGAATGGCAGCATCGACGGTGTTGGCGAAGGCCGTCGGAGCTGAGAGAGAATTGAAGGTTCATATTCCTGGATACGGAGGGTTTATATCCTCTGGGATGATCACTCTCGCGGGATCGGTTCGGGCTACGCCCGCTTCGTCTTCTTCGTCGTGCTCCGCTGGGATTGTGAGGGCTGTTGCCACGGTGAGGTTTCTGACTATTTTTTTTAATGAACTTATGAGCTTATTGTGATGTGGGGTTGTTTACTTGAATTAGGTTTTTTTGTTTTTTGTTTTTTTTTGTTTTCTGCAAGGTTTTGCTTGGAATTTGTGAAAGTCGAACACTTTTTGGAGATGGCTTTTAAAAAAAGTTTAAATTCGCTCTAAATGAGAAGTTGGTTTCGTAGTGTTAACAAGTGTGCAAATAAATGTTTCAAATGCATTATGCAAGCGTGCATGCGCATTGATTAGTGTGCAAAATGCATTATACAAGAGCATTGAACAATAAGCAAGTGTGCAAATGAGTATGCAAGCTCATGATGCAAATAGACTGAAAAATGCGGTTGAAATTTAAAAGAAGTTTCAATTTCTTGCATTTGCTTTGACAATCATGATAATCATGCAAATGCAAATGTCTCATAATGCTGTATAGGTTAAAATTGAGTTAAACTAAAAAAAATTCTATTTTCAAATCAAATGTCTGCATGTGCTTCAATCTATATGTCGAACTACTAAATTTGAGTTTCGAGAACACTGCGTGTTTAAAATAAATAACTCATATCGAACCTAATCCTATGTTAGCGAATGAATAAAGTTGATAAGGTTCAAACAATGAAAAACAATCGCATAAAAGTCTCCATGGTGACTATGTTGAACGTGAATCTCAATTGGTGGGGTACTTATAATATAATATGCCTTCAACTCCCGACGAAATGCAAATATTTTAAAAGTAACTTAAACGTCATCTCGATGATGACCGTGTTAACATTGAATCTTAATCAAAAGGGACTACTACTTAATTTCCAAAAAAATGTCCCTAAATTCTAAAATTAATCATGTATGGGCTCAAATTTCAATAAGAGCTCAAAATCCAATATTTATCAAAATTTAAAACACTCAAATGGAATGTACTTCTAAAAACTTAAAGTGAAATTTCATTCGCACTTCACAACAATTTATTAGGGGGGATAAACTTGAGGATAACCTTAGTTCCCAAAGAGGAAATGCCTAATCAAGCTTATATCTAAAATTCATTTTCAAATGAGCTCTCGTTAATAAGGACGTGTTACATATCCTCTAACTAGTGATTTCGTCGCCAAATGACATCACAAATAAACTACTATGATTGGATGGTTTTGCCATAAAGTGTACTACTAAACTACGATTATGGGCAGAGCCCGTATAATCCTAACTGCTTAAAGCCCTTGAGTAATAAATCATAAGATATACTTGATAAGTCACAAAGCTACTGTTGGTTAAGATCGACTTAAATTTGTCCCTTTATAAACATTCACCAAAAGTTCATAAGGTTCCAATTGATGAAGCAACTCATGATTGCTGACAAAGATCTTTTGGTCAGGTTGAGTCAACCACCTCTTTGACTAAGTAGAATAGGGAACACGACGATCCGGGATAACATAATATGAGATCTTGATTGGGCTCATTATCTCTCTTCTTTAAGTATGCAGTGGTAAATTTTAAAATCCAAAAAATCTAAAATCTAAATCCTGATAAATCCTGAAAATTATTGCTACAATACACTAGATATTTAATGCCTATCTAATGACTAGCCTTAAATGAATATTTTATCCCATTATTGGGAGGGGTAATGAACCATAGGGGCTTGTATCAATGGAAAATCAGAACTCAGATCATAAAGTCATTGCAAAATGAGGGTGAAATCTCTATGTAGTGTCTTATTTAAAAATCTAACACATCTTATGAAAATTTACTTTGGAACATAATCTGTCAAAACCCTCCTCGACAAAAAGGTGGGAAGAAGCCAGGTGCAAATTTTTGGAGCACATAGGAGTGACAGGTTGCTTAGCTTCTTTTGAAGGGGGAATCTCAATATCTTTAAATCTACTAACTCCTGGCTAGTGCCTTCTCCATGGTAAGAGAGGGCTTGCTCGGTTTTAGGGGAAGAGAATTTTATGAAGAAAGGGAGAATTAAACCTTTAAGAGGGAAAAAAGGTTTTGTGTGTGTGTGTGTGGTGGGGGGGAGATATTAATCATTTAGTGCATACTTTCTCATAAAGGCTTACATAATGCTTTAACTTGTAGCCATTTATAGGAGCACAACAAATCAGTCACAAATTTGTGAACAAACTAGTAAGCAACTTATAATCTAAATCTAAAGTATTATTAGCCATCTAATCTACAAAATAAGGAGAAGATAGGAAATCCCTTAAGGCAAAACTTGCTTGAAATGGCAGACAATAAGCGAGAATAATGGAGCAGCCCCTCTTAGCTACTCTGTTTGGAGTTGCTCAAGTTAGGAATGGTTGAACTATGTTATAGAAATTTAATTAGTTTAACAAGAATCACTTTCGCTTTACCCCAAATTGGAAAATAGTGCTACTAAGATCCTTATTCTCTTTATAACCACAATAAAATGCTCACGTTGCTTCATGGATAACTGCAGCCTGATACTGCCGTCATCAAACGAAGCAAGGTTGAATTGTACAAAGAACAAAGCAACTTTCTTAGGTTCCCTCTAAATGAGGAGTTGCAGAATGAGGCGGCTGGCATTAATGAAGTTGCCACCCAATTGATCAAGTTTCATGGAAGTTATCAACAGACCAACAGGGATGAACGTGGTACAAAGTCTTACCAGTTTATGCTTCGAACAAAAAATCCATGTGGCAAAGTACCAAACAAGCTCTACTTGGTAATGGATGACCTTGCAGATGAATTTGGTATTGGTACTCTCCGTCTAACCACCAGACAAACATTTCAGTTACATGGAGTTCTAAAGAAGAACCTCAAAACTGTGATGAGCACTATCATAAAGAATATGGGATCAACTCTTGGTGCTTGTGGTGACCTAAACAGAAATGTTCTTGCCCCAGCAGCACCCTATACAAACAAGGAGTATGCTTTTGCTCAGGAAACTGCAGAGAACATTGCTTCACTTCTGACTCCTCAATCTGGTGCTTATTATGATATCTGGGTAGATGGTGAAAAAGTCATGTCTGCAGAGCCTCCTGACGTAACTGCAGCTCGTAATGATAACTCCCATGGGACAAACTTTCCAGAATCTCCAGAACCCATCTATGGTACACAGTTCTTGCCTCGGAAGTTTAAGATTGCAGTGACTGTACCTACTGACAACTCAGTGGATATTCTAACCAATGACATCGGTGTTGTGGTGATTTCTGATAGTGATGGAGAGCATCAAGGCTTTAATATCTATGTAAGCAGTAAAGATTATGCTTTTTTTCTTATTTGCTGCTCTTGTTCATTTACGAACTGACTGCTGATTGTATGTAACGCGAAGGTGGGTGGTGGCATGGGAAGGACACACAGGGTGGAGACCACTTTTCCTCGTCTTGGAGAGCCACTGGGTTATGTACCAAAAGAAGATATATTATATGCTGTGAAGGCAATTGTTGTTACGCAGAGAGAAAATGGGAGAAGGGATGATAGGAAGTATAGTAGAATGAAGTATTTGATAAGTCAATGGGGAATTGAAAAGTTCCGTTGTGTTGTTGAGAAGTATTATGGAAAGAAGTTTGAACCATTCAGAGAGTTGCCTGATTGGGAATTCAGAAGCTACCTAGGATGGCATGAGCAGGTTTATTTGGCATATATTATGCTTTAATTTGAATGATGTGCAATTGTATATTTGAATTTTAATTTTATTTGGCTTCATGTTCTTACATTTGCTATTTCTACGAAGTTAATACTTCAAAGCCTATTGTCTCATAGGGGGATGGAGCATTGTTCTGTGGCCTTCATGTTGATAGTGGCCGTATTGGAGGTAAAATGAAGAAAGCTTTGAGGGAAGTAATTGAGAAATATAATTTAAATGTTCGGATTACGCCAAACCAGAACTTGATTTTATGTGATATTCGACGTACTTGGAGAAGACCAATAACAACAGTTCTAGCTCAGGCTGGTCTACTGGTAAATTCGTTTCCTTCTTTTTTTTTGGTATCTTCTTAAAGCTTTAACTGCCTTAGTTGTAGAGGCATGCATTTAGTAAGGGAGATGATAGGAAATTGATAAAAAGCTATAAGCAGGCAATTTATCAGACTAGGTTGTGAATCTGTAAACCAATGTTCATGGAATTCAGCAAGATGATACTAATTTTTTACTGCTGAAAAATTTTTCCTAAATAAAGGGGGGGGGGGGGGGGGGGGGGGGGGGGGGGGGGGGGGGGGGCGTTGGTGATAATCAGTTTAGAGATGAGAGTGAGTGATATTGCTTGATAGAACCAAAATAATTTGTGTGAAAAATAGTAATAGCAACATTAATGTGGATTAATTCCCATGTAAGTCATCTAATGGACATTTTCTGCTCATGGAGATCTCATAATTTTTGCAAAGTGGGGTTGTAACCATTAACGATAGTGAAGGACTTTGGAGCTTCATTTGTTTATAAGAGAAAAATTTCAATGTAGAGGAAGAATCGAGGATTTAAAGAGAAGGAGGTTGAGAATATTGAAAGAATGACCGCTTCATGGGAGGGGAAGTAAGAGGTTGAGAGAGAAAATGAAGAGCCTCATGGTTAGCAGATGGAGGATCAGCCAAGAACAAAAATGCTTGTGGGAGGCCATTTGCTTATTCCATAATTAATCATCTTTAATCATAACTCAACGTCTACTATTTATAATAACAACCATATATTTTACTAATAGTGTGATAACGATGAGCATGTATGAATAAAAAATGACCATCTTACTCCGCACAAGTATCAAATGACAAATAAGGACAGTGATATGACATAAAAATTAATAATGAAAATTATATATCACTAAAAGCTTTAACTGTGATAAAGGACATGACATGATAATGTTAAAAAAATTAAATTGAGAAACATAATGACTTGTGATTGAGCACTGAAATAGACGTCTTGATTCTTGAATTGTGTCAATTCCCTTGGCTTCTAAGTTTGCTTCAGAGAGTGAAATGCTATTGCAGGAAGGTTGGAGGTCTTCACTCATGTAACCATGTCATCAAAATCCATCCTATGGGAAATCCATACTAGAGGAAGAGATGAAAGGGAAATTCATCCCGATGTAAAAGTGGTGAATTGAATAGGAAGAAAATACAAAGGGGAAGAAAATAATTATTTGATAGAAGGCTCACAACATCGATCTTCAAGAGAAATCATGAGAACATACCATAGAATATCTAATGCTGATCTTTATGACGGGGAACTTTTCATATTAAGTAGATTGGTTTATAGTATCATTTGATGCAGAGTGGTGCAATGGTAAGTGAAGACAGTGCCAGACTTAATTTGTTGAGAAGAGAAGATTTCCATGTAGAGTAAGAACAAGGAGGTAAAGAGAAGTTGAGAAAATCAGAATAATGCAAGCCTCTAGAGCTGTGAAGGCAAGAGTTAGGGTGGTATAATGAAGAACCTTATGGGTTAGAGAAAGATGGAGGAATCTACCAAGTAAGAAAATGTAAGAGGAACAACTTTTTTTTATTTCATACTCAATCTTTAATTACAGCACAAGGCATACTATTTATTGTTGTAACCATACATTAATGGACATTTTAGTACTTCCAACCTCAGCATAATAAGCATGTCCGAATGAGAAATTACCTTTTTTTTGCTCTTGACAAATAACAAAAATCCAAATAAGGATAGTGATAAACATGATCAAAATAATAACAGCATAGTCATTAACAACTTTAACTATGATAAGGCAAGAGTAAATTTATTGTTGAACTGCATGTTGATTTACTGTGTAATGTAATGAAATCTCGAAGGGAAAATGATGAAGAAGGGATAAAGACAAAAGAGATACATGAAAGTAAAGTCTTATTTCTCTTATTAATTTTCCATTCCGTGTAATAAAGGTAGTACATGTCTTTAGATAAAGAATAATCTATATGTAGGTATAGAGAGGCTAGAGTAAGGATTTGCTTTGTATGGACGGCATAGATGGCCTGGGAGAAGTTTGATTCATGTTGGGCATGGCTAACAGTAGGTCAATTGCTCCACATGCTGCATGCCTATGAAGAGTGGCTGTCATCATTATCTCCCATCAAGCTGGCTGTCTCGCATTGGATAGTCAGTCAGCTTATGCTTTAGCTTGTGAAAACTAGAAGTGGCTAAAGATTTTGTGAAAATATAAGCTACTTGATCTTTGATCTTGAGATGTAACTCGCAAAACTTTGATTGTATTAAGGTTAATTTGTTTTTGGATGAAGTGATAATCTATTTCTATATACTTTATACGAGCATGGAAAACTAGGTTATTGGCAATAGCTATAGCAGGAATGTTGTCACAGCATTGGTTCGTTGGTTTAGGCTTCGTTTGGAACGGCTTTCTTACTGCTCATAAAACAGCTTCCTAGTTAAAAAATTTTAATGTTTGTACTAGAAAGCTGCTTTAAGAAGCAGGAAGAAAATTGTCCCAAACAAAGCTTTAGTGATGGGAATATGAAATTCATTGAGTAGTCGGCATAACCAAATGATATCCCTGGTAGCCAAGGCATACCTATTACTACTGTTCTTTTGCTGATCAACTGGTGAAAATCTCATCACCTTATGCTGGTTTTTTTTTTGGATATCTACCATTCTCGGTCGTTGCAAATAGGCATATTTAAACTAGTTTCTAGGGTCGTGGGATTAGACATTGGTGGGCAAATTTTGATTCAGTTGATGTACAGAAGGTTTCAACAGTATTCTGTTTTTTAATATATATTGTTTATGCAAAATAAACATTAGGTAGATTAATAGCGAGTCAGGTTTAGTTTGCTAAACCTGGGAAAGCATTCTTCGCCTTGACCTTTTTTTAAGGTTTTGACCATAATTACTATTCTTTCTGAAATAGTTAACCGTGTTACAGCAACCTAAGTATGTTGATCCTCTCAACATAACTGCCATGGCATGTCCGGCTCTACCATTATGTCCTCTAGCAATAACTGAAGCTGAGAGAGGAATACCTGACATTCTCAAACGTGTTCGAGCTGTTTTTGATAAGGTAATTGACAACATTTTCTTAATCATTCGGTCAACTTTTCTTGTTTTTGAATTTGCTGAGGTATTATGGTAGGTGGGTTTACGTTACAATGAATCTGTGGTTATAAGGATAACTGGTTGCCCTAATGGTTGTGCTAGACCATACATGGCTGAACTAGGGTTTGTGGGTGATGGTCCTAACAGTTATCAGGTATTTGATGTTGTTCATGATGTGTAAAAGACAAATGTAACTGTATTACTATCCTACCAAGGATACGGCATCAACTATGAAGGTCATCTTCTTAGTTGTTTCTGGAACAGATTTGGCTCGGGGGAACACCTAACCAGACTAGTTTAGCTAAATGCTTCATGAATAAGGTGAAGATCCAAGATCTAGAGAAGGTTTTGGAACCACTTTTCTATAATTGGAGAAGGAAACGTCTACGGGGAGAACCGTTCGGCCAGTTCACGACTAGAGTCGTAAGCATCCTGTCGTCACTTTTCTATTACGAGTTAAATTATGTGTTTGCACTCTAAAAGCATTCATTTCTAATTGCATGTCAAATGGCCATTAATAATGGTGATATGTAATATTTGCATATCCTATATTGGTTCTTTTATAGTTTTATAAGCTCTATTTATTCAGATAGGGCAGTAGCATAATTAGATTTTTCTCATCCAGCATTAACATTCTTTAATAGCTTCCAAGATACTTTCAACAGTCAATTCAACATAGAAAAAGATAGTTTTTTTTCTGCTAAAATTAGAATGAACAATTGTTTTATTTTATTTTTTTGTGAAGTCATATTAGTTAGAAACTTGGGATCATTACTGTTACTATCCAACATTTCTAATTGCATGCTAAGTGCTTGTTAATAATGCGTATATGTAACCTTTGCATATCCTGTATTGGCTCCTTAATAAGCTGTATTTATTTAGATAGGACACTAGCAATAATTAGATTTTTCTCATCTAGCATTGGCATTCTTTAATAGCTTCCAGGATATTTTCAACATTCAATTAAAGAGAACAACAACAACAATAACATCAAGCCTTTACCCCACTATATTGGGTCAGCTACATGAATCCTTTTTCTCTATTGCATACTATTAACAGCATAATTCCTATTTAAATCTAGTAAGAATGTCATTTCTAATATTTTCAAATCAAGTCTTTTTATGTCTACCTCTACATTTCTTAATATATGCCATATCTAATACATCTACTCTCCTAATCGGGTCATCAGAAGGCTAATGTTTTATTTGACCAAATCATCTAAGGCGACTCTCTCTAATCTTATCTACTGCAACTTTTTCATGTATATACTCGTTTTGCATTCTGTCTTTAAGAGTAACCACTCATCCACTTAAGCATCCTCATCTCTATAATACTTAACTTAATTTTATACTTACTCTTTTAATGGCCAACATTCTGCGCCATAAAGTATTACAGGTCTCATCATCATCTTATAGAATTTCCTTAAGTTTGAGGGATACTTTTCTATCGTGCAATAGACTCAATTCATTCCTTCACTTCAATCATCTAACTTGAATTCTACTAATAAGATGGCCAACTATTTCACCATCACTTTAAAAATTAGACTCGAGATATCTAAAACGTGTACTCTTTTAATGATTTGATCACACAAAGTCACAATCCCCCTACTATATCTATTACTAAAATTATTGATGGGGACATCAGATCGTAGAAGGTTTATCAGAGACATGGCCGCCGATCTACGGCCATGATCGAGTCATTGTATTTCTGATTTATATCATGTATTGTTTTTATTTTCATGTCATTGTATTTTGTTTTATGTCCTTTATTTCCCGTTGTACCCTTCTAGTAAAGGGGTGTTGTATGTAAGCCCCGAGGACATTTTAGTCTTTTATTTCTTGAGTTTCTTATACTAGGCTATTTATAGTCCGTTGTTCTATTTTTTTTGGGTAATGAATGATTATGATGAGATTTTTTTACACTTGTGTTTTGAGATCGTTTGAGCGTTCTTAGAGAGAACTTTGGAGAGATCCCTAGGAGAGGGAGAGCGGATCACCCACCAACCTTGGAGACGGCCGGGTTCATGGTTTTCTTCTTTATCCTTTGTCGTTTTCCTTCCACCTCCACTATCGATCAACCTTGCATCAAAACCTCTTCCACCTCCAAACCATCATCTCCTCCTAAACTAGTTCCACGGATTTCCCCCTTCCCTAAGCTGTCGGCCCCTACCCAAAATTCCCCCCTCCATACCGCCGGCCCTAGATCCCTAGCCGCCGGCCTTACCCATGCCCCTGTTGACCAGTAACATGGAAACAAAAAAAAAAGAGGAAAATCAAATCCACGCCCTCTGCCATCGCACGTTGAAGCCACGATCTCGCACGTCGTTCGCACGTCCAGACCATATCAACGTCGCATCCGCCACGACTCTGCATGACGAACTTCTCAAGTTGATAAAATGAGCACAAGGCTCTCGTTCGCGCAGACCCGCGAGCTCCTCTCCGATCCCAAGCTCTCTGAAGCTCTCCCTCACGCTCTCACTCCTCTTCTCCGACTCCTGCGTAGCTGTGCGACTTCGCTTCTTTGACGACGCCTCCAGTCGGATTGGGAGCTACGAATTTTGATCGGAAGCAAGAGCGGAGCTCATTCTCTGCGAAGCTTCGGCTCTTTCGTGGACGTCCGACCCTACAGTCGTCCGACCTCCCTCCTTCTAGCCAAATCTAGCCCGACGTCCACAGAGAGAGAGAGAGAGGAGAGAGCTACATGAGCCGAATTCCTCTCCAAGCCGACGCCGAGCCCTGCCCGACTCCTCCTTGGCCGTCTGATTTCGCTCCTTCAGCCAACTTTCCCTTCCTGTCCGATCGCAAGCAAGGACAGGAGCTCGCTTGTGGAGAAGGTAACTTTCTACCTTTCGCGTTATTCTCCGGCCAAATCCCTGAAATTCACCGAACCAAGGGATTTAGTAAATACGGGATTAAGCCATAAATCCTTAATCCTCGATTTATTTTAATCTATTATTATTTTTATTATAATTCTTATTAATTATATTTAATAGTTATTTAATTATTATAACAATTAATTATCTAATTATAATTAATTAGTAATTATTAATTAATTATTAATTATAATTAATCATTGAAAGGTTGGCTGAGTGGGCTTTGGGGACGGGCACGAGGCGACAGTAAGAGATTAGTGTGAGAAGCTCTGTTAGGGTTTGCTTTTCCCGCATTTTTTTCCGCCTCCCCGCCGCTTGAGGAGGACTCCGCTTGTAGGATGTCCTCCTCCGCCTTTCCCCCGCTTCCTTCTGCGTCATCCCCCTCCAGAGCCCCCCTTACTGAGGATCTTCTCCATTGGAAGCTTCTCTTCTCCTCACAATCTCCTGTTTCTCATGATTTCTCCAGCTCGTTGGCTCACCACCCGACTAAAAACTTCACCGCGCACTTCACCCAAACCCAGTTTGAAGCTGGAGCCCCGGAATGGTCGCTTTCGTTGGTGGGCTATTCCATTGGCAGGAGACCTTTCTATGAAGCTCTCCTCTCTGTTATCAAGCGAACATGGAAGCTAAAAGGCGAGATTTCTCTTCTTACGCTTGATGATGGGTTTTTCCTGTTGAAATTTTCCTCCCCTGAAGACTTTGAGATGGCTGGGACTGGTGGTCCCTGGTTCTTCTTTGGTAAGCCTTTCATCCTCCAGAAATGGTCCCCGGAATTCGTCCCCAAGCGTGAAGAATTTGCCACGATCCCTCTTTGGATTAAGATAAAAAATCTCCCCCTTTCCTGCTGGACGCCGGAAGGAATATCTAAAATTGCTAGCTGCGTTGGAGTGCCCTTAGCGGTGGATGCCCTCACGGCCGCAAAGATCAGACTTACCTTCGCACGGGTTTGTGTTCAGGTTTCATGCTCTGCCCCTTTGCCAGACGAATTTTTTATTTCTGTGGATGGCAAGTTAACTCCCCTTTCGGTTCAATACGACTGGAAACCTATCCCCTGCGAACACTGCAGCTCTATCTATCACAGTCCCTCCCTTTGCTCAAAAAATCCAAATCCTCAGACAGTCACTAAACCTTCTACCCTTCCTCCTACTGCTCGTGGCCGTAGTTCTAGTCGCAGACCTCGAAAAAGTCAGCCCCCAGCCTCTAACCTTGCTTTCAAACCCTCATCTTCTTATGCAGGCCCAGCGGCTGCTCCTCCTCTGCTCCCAATCCCAAACTCCCAACCCCACCCGACCCCTCAAATTCCTACTCCTCATCCAACCCCTCAAATTCCTACACCTATATCCAATCTAAATTCTCCCACTTCTGAGGTCTGTCCCACAGACACTTCTTCTCCTGCTAAGCCAGAGCCCCCCTTAAAGCTTAAGGCTTTAAATTCTCTTCCTACTGCCAATAAATTTGAGCTATTATCTTCTCATCAGGATACTCAACTCCCACTTAATCCTTCACAAACCGATCACCAGGACATCCCCATTTCTTCTCCTGTGGTCCAGGACAACCCCAGCCTTCAATCCTCCCCCTACCAATCCTCTTCTAGCACCCCATCCCAAGCTACTAAATCCTGCAACAGTTCTTCTCATGACAAACCTAGTCCCAAAAACACTAGGAGCAAACAAGCCAAAAAGGCTGCCAACACTAAACACAAACATAAATGACCTTACCCCGTATGGCTTCTTGGAACGTTAGGGGTTTTAACAATGCCTCCAAAGTTTTGTCTTGCAAGTCGTTAGTTCAAAAATATAGCTTGGATATGGTTTTTATTCTTGAAGCTAAGATTTCTGCTCAGTCCCTTTCTGATGACTGGTTCAAACGCTCTCATACGATTTTCCCTATTGAGGGTTGCTTTGACAATTTTGCTGATTCTAATTCGGGTCGTATCTGGATAAAGTGGAATGCTCTTAAGGTCTCTTTTAGACCTCTCTTCTCTTCTTCTCAGATTATCAATGGGGTGGTTTCTTGTGGTGGCCAGGAGTTTTGTTGTATTTCAGTGATTTATGCTTCCAGTTCTATGGCGGAGAGGCATCAACTTTGGAACTTTACTGCTAACCTGGCTAGCAGTATCTCTCTTCCTTGGGCTATTTTGGGTGACTTTAATTGCTGTAGAAATCCATCGGATAAAGCGGGGGGTAATCCCATTCCCCTCAGTAAGCTGGGTGAGTTAAACAACTTTGTGTTTAACTCTGGTGTCTCCGATTTACCCTCTATTGGCCATTACTACACTTGGTATAATCAGATATTGGATGTTCCGATTCACATTAAATTGGACAGAGTACTCATTAATGATGAGTGGCTAAATTCGTTTCCAAATTCTTACTATATTGTTTCTGACCCTGACATTTCTGATCACTGTCCTATTATTTTATATCTTGAAACACCTATGACTCATCCTCATAGGTTTATGTATAAGAATTACTGCAGCAAAATTCCAGCTTTTTGGGATGACGTGATGAAGGTTTTTTCCATGCCGGCTACTGGTAGTCCTATTTGTGACCTT